AATAAGATAAATATAAAATTTTATTAATAAATAATTATATTTTTATTTTATTAAAAAATTAGGTATATTAAAATTAAATGAAGATGTTATTAATTGATTAATTTGAAAATGCATTATTAATTAAAATAAAAAATGCCCCACCTAAACATATATAATATTAATTAGTATAACAAAAAATATATGATAGAACCTCCAAATCCATCCCTCAAATAAGAGGCAAAGGCAAATCCGTTCTTTAAAAAAATCTAAAAATAAATTATTTTTTAAATTATAAATCGAAATAAATTACTCATTTTTTAATGTATGATATCAACTTTTTATTAAAAATTATTTACATAGCAAATAAAATTTTAATATCACATATTAAAAAGTAAATAATTTATTTCAATTTATAATTTTAAAAAATAATTTATTTATTCACTTATTTGAGTGATGAATTTAAAGGTTTTGCAAAAATATATTATACCTTTAAACAAAAGTCAAGTCAAGGTCACCTAAAAAACAGTTAAACTATTGATGGAAAGTTAACGGAATGATTACATCATCCGTTGTAGAAGGGCTATTTTGCCACCGTAAATGAGTTTTGGGGGTTAGTTTGCGTGTGAATTTTGTTGAGCAAGGTAATTTGACACCACAGGAGAAGTTGAGGGGGGTAATTTGCATATTTTGCCCTCTTTAAATTAGGAAATGTTATATTTTTTGAGCAAAACTCTGAAATATACCTCTCAAATAAAAGATAGAAACAAATCTGCCCTTTAAAAAATATATAAGATAAATTATTTATTTAAATTATAAATTAAAATAAATTATCTAATTTTTAATGTGTGATATTAAAATTTTATTTATTATATAAATATTTTTTAATAAAAAATTAATATCATACGTTAAAAAATAAATAATTTATTTTTATATTTTTTAAAAAAGAAGAATATATCTTCACCCTATTTGAGGAGTAGATTTAGGGTTATGCGAATTTTCTATGCAGGCATAAAATTTTCAAAGTAAAAAAGACTTGGATACAAAGGTTCTATCTTTGCTTTCGTAATTGATATAAATGAGGTGGGTAGAGAGCATTAAATGCTCACTGAATAATTCATTAAATAAAAGCCTGGAAAGTTTTCTCCCTTGAAACATCATTCATTCATTTATTGAATTGGTGGTCGTTCCTTTCAGCTGGGTACCTTGTGCAGAACATAACAATGATATCTGCTCCCCGTCAGTATCAATAGTATTATAAACTGCCTCCATGTCCGGCTATCGTCATTACCACACAAATAAACAGTAAAGTCAA